CTTGCAGAGATTAAGACTCCCCCACTTCTGTCCAAGAAAGAAACAGAGCCTGGGGTCTCCAGAGGGTTCCGTGAAAGGCAGGGTTCCCTGGGAGGCTTTGCAAATGCGGATCGGATCCTGGGGAAATTGGGATTCATGCCTTTCCTTGTTGAAAATATGTTTGGATGGTAATAAATATCTTCAGGAGACATGAAAGTGTGCGACTCTTCATTAAGGACCTTTTGTTTTGGCCTTCAGTGTTGATTTGTCTCCGTCTGCTTTGGATAGAGGACCGCCTTTTTCTGTGGTTCGTCAAAGAAGGTTTGGATGAGGTCGGCTGAGTAGTCTCCAGGCTGAGACTGCTTCGAGGTAAGGAAGGGTCAAGCCCAGTCGCTGCTTAGGTCATGTTGTCCTGAGGGTCTCCAGGAGGCTTCTTTCCTTGCGGTGGTGGACAGCAGTAAGAATGTCTTGATTTTTTTATTTTTATTTTTATTTTTTTTTAGAATGTTCACTTGTCACAAAGCTGAAGGAAAATCTGACTTAAAAGACAGGACGTGATTGATTTATTGCCTGTTAGTGGAGGAAAAATAATGGGGAGGGCAAATTTTTTTTTTTTTAAGATTTATTTATTTATTCATGAGAGAGGCAGAGACACAGGCCGAGGGAGAAGCAGGCTCCTCGCAGGGAGCCGGTCATGGGACTCGATCCCACATCCCGGGGTCATGACCTGAACCGCTGAGCCACCCACGCATCCCTATGAGTAGGAAATTCTGATGCCAGGAAAACCTCTTAGGATTTGGCCCTGGAGGAAGATAGCTAACTGCTCTGAGGGAGAAAAAGATGGAACATTACTTGGCAACTGGCTAGCAAATACACCAATTTTAAGTGAGAGAAACCACCTGTATACACCCCTCATCCCCATTTCCTTATCAGTCTTCTCTCAGCCCTGCCTCAGTATAGTATGAGTTTGTCCTTGGTTTTCTGAGCCAATTTTTAAAAATCTTAGTTTCTTATTTTTCTTCCTTTGTGCACAAGGTGGCAGAGGTAGTACAGGGTTTGAGGAGAAAGGGAGAGGAGGAAGATTTGAGAGGGGGATTTAGGATCATTAGGACAGGGCTGGTAAGGCTGCTGAAGCCATGAAATGTGTGGGTAACATTAAGCTGATGTTACTGAGCACTCTTTTGGGTTAAGATGGCACCTTCAGGGAACTGTAAGTCTCCTGAGAATGGAAGGCACCCCTCCCCCACAGTGTCACTCCTGCAGATCTGATGCTGGTCCAACCGCTGTTGATTCTACTCGGAGCACTGCAGCGTCAGGCTAGAGCAATGAGTGCCCCCAGGAATTCACTCCCTGCACCTAAGAGGCTTTCCGATAGGAAGCCCCCCAGCCCCTTGTCTAGCTCCCCTTCTAGCAAATTCACAAGCAAAGCTGTTCTTGGCTGTCTTAATGAGATGATTTCACACAATATTCCATGTGAAACATTGACCTCAGCGCCTGGCACATAGAAAATACTCATCTATTTGTGTTATATGCGGGCGGTTAATACTGGTAAGACTGCCTTTCTTCTAAGCACTTGCCACTGATGCCAATGTGAGACCACACTAGCAGAAATTTTAGGGAGCAATCTGTTCCAGGAAGGATTGAGGATTTCCTTTTTTATCTTTTTTATTATTATTATTTTTTAATTTTTATTTATTTATGATAGTCACATAGAGAGAGAGAGAGAGGCAGAGACACAGGCAGAGGGAGAAGCAGGCTCCATGCACCAGGAGCCCCATGTGGGATTCGATCCTGGGTCTCCAGGATTGCGCCCTGGGCCAGAGGCAGGCGCTAAACCGCTGCGCCACCCAGGGATCCCTTTTATCTTTTTTAAAGATTTTATTTATTCATGAGAGAGACAGATAGAGGCAGGCTCCATGCAGGGAGCCCAATGCACAATTCCATCCCAGGACTCCAGGATCACGCCCTGGGCCGAAGGGAGACGCTTAACCACTGAGCCACCCAGGGATCCCAGGATTGAGGATTTCTTCCTTGTCCTATCAAAGAGCAGGTTGGAGGTCTTTACTGCAGGCTCTCATGAAGTCACTGCAAGGGATGGCCAAGTGTGTGCCTTTTACATTTCTATTTTAACGTTGCACACAACGCTTTTTAGGTTTATACTTTTACCCGCTGGTCCTTGAAAAAGAAACTGGAAGTCTCCAACTGGCTTTTATGTCAATGGGAGACTGACACTAGGGCAATAAAGACCCTTGCCCCCTCAGCCCAAACTGCTACGGAGGACACCTGGGTGACATGGACTGTCCCTGGAGAAATGGTAATACCGAAGACCAGTGGAAGGACTCCTGGGTGGAGAATTACCACATTTAAACACTGAAAAAACCTGGCTGGCAGAGGCAGATTAAGAGCAGCAGGCCAGACATCACTGAGGACAAACCTTGTAAGGCCAGAGACTGGAAAAATTAGTACTAAACTTTTGTTCTTCAGAAAAACGCATCAGAAATTTTAATTACAGTAAGAAACATTTATGGATCTTGAAATCATCTGAAATTCCAGGTTTTGCAGCCCCAGCCGTTTTAAGAATATACTGTTTGAATTACACTGTCAACTGGTAGAATTTTGCAAAATCACCACTGCTTTAAGACTTGTAATTTTTTTTTAAACATTTCACAAACATTTGAAACAACTAAGTCATTAAAAAGTTCTTAATGTGTTAAGGGAAACTAGCAAATTTATTAGTACAGGGAGATCAACTTCTTTGGGTGTCAGCAGCTCAAAAATAGTTAAGATTAATTAAAGCAAAAGTGTGTTTATTAGAAAAAATAGAAGTGCGTTTGTCCTTTTAGCCTTCAATCCAGCTTGCAAACGCTTCTGATTAAAATCGGACTTCCATTTCAGTTGAAAGGGAGACTCAATTTCTGATGAAGTGATTTTTTACTGTGTGCGCCTTCACGTAGCAGGTAGGGGGGCAGTGGGAACGGTCTAGGTGAATTCAACAATGACAAAATGGTTGATTAAAAATCGTTCAGACCAGCGACATTTGGACACATCTTCCAGTTAACATTCTCAGTTTCCAGAAGTTCTAGGCAGACATCAATGGTGACACGCCAGGTTCCAGACCTCCAGGGAGGTGGTCAGATTGCCACAGGCAAAGGGTAGGGAAAGAAAACCGGTTTCTCTCTTAAACCCAGGGCTGTGTTTGGCCATAATGCGGAGGGGTGTTGGCCTCCGTACCCCCACTTGCCCTCAAGGCAGGAAAGCGGCCTAGAGCCCGGGTGCGAGTCCCTACCCCGAGGGTGAAGCTGCTGGAGGGGAGGGCCCGGGCTTCTCCGAGGAGCTCTAGTCCTGAAAAGATGAGGTGAGCTCTGTCCCGGCGGCCCGCCCGCGCTCCTGCCCCGCGAGGACGGCTCCCGCGCGGCCCCGGGAGGAGCACGAGCTGACGGGGGCGGGGCGCTCGGCGGTCACGTCCCCACTAACCTACCCCGACTGCGCCCGGCCTCGGGGCCCCGGGACCACGGGACGACGGGACCACACCCGGAGACCGCGCGCCGCCTCCCCAGCCCCGCCTCTAGCCCGCCCCCGGAGCTCGGTGCCGGCGCCCGCCCCGCGCCCCGCCCCCTCTCCCGCCTCAGCCGCTCTGCCCGGCGCCTGACCCTGCGGCTGCGCGCTCCCCTCGGGCCGCTCCCCGCCCGCAGTCGCCCCGTCCTGGCCGCTCTAGCCCGCCCTGGCGGGAGCTCTATGACAGCGCCGGGGGCGGGGGGCCGCGTCTCCCCGAGGGCCCGTCCCACCCTCTCCCCGCTCCCGCCGCTCGGGCTCGCGGGGCCGGCGCTGCCCACGGGTCTCGGGCTTTCCGCTCCCCCTCCCCAGCCGGCGCGGAGGGCGCCGTCGCACTCCCCGGAACTCCTCTCGGTTGTGCGCCTCCCTGGGCCCGGCGGCGGGCCCCGCTCTCTCGGCCCAGCAAGGGGCGAGCGCAGCCCGGGTGGTGCGGCCGCCGGGACGCCACGGAGGGGGCTAACCCGATTCGATCCGGACGCCCGGGCTACGGGGTGAGAAAGGACGGGGGGGAGGGCAAGCGAGGAGACTGAGGCAGTTGTCCAGGCAGGGGTGATGGCAGCCCGGACCAGGACACGAACAGCGGGGACGGAGAAGTGGGCACGAAGGGTAAGCCATTTAGGACGGAGAACCGACTGAACCTTACGAGGGCCCAGACGGAAGTCTGAAATCCTGGGACGGTCTGGGACGAAAATTTGGCCCGGACTTGTCTTTCCTGCTCTTCTTTGCCAGTGGCCACTACGGCAGACATCCCGGGACGTTGCAGCTTCCCAAGAAGGCGCACTCCCGCATGCGGAGCCCGAGCTCTTTGCCCAGATTGCCCTTCCATTGCCCGCCCTAAACTTTAAAGCCCAGTTTAGAAGTCACTTCTGACCGCCTTACACTTCACCCGCTACCCAAACACTCCCGAACCCTCTACTCATCTAGCACTTACACATTGAACAGTGGTTTGTTCCTGTCGTTTTCTAATTTAGGTCTAAATGCCTAACATTGGGGCTCAGTACCTAGCACGGAAAAGCAACGGGAAGCTTCCAGAATCAGTGAATACTTACCAAAAGAATGTGACTGCCGGTCATTTACGCTGGAAATGTACTACCCATGGGGGGTGGGGGGGTGCATTTGATGCAGTGACAAATTAAAAACTGTCCAGTAAGCTCATCTCACATTCCCATCCATGTCTTCCACAATCCATTCTACCCTAGACTTGAAACATATGCTAACACTTTATTAATGCCAAGACCTAAAGCATGTTAAGATAATAAGATATAAAATTTTTTATTTACAGTGTAATCTGCGTACTTTTTAAATACATAAAATACACCAAAATGCTAAACTATCCTTGGTGGACAGAAGTTGGGTGGGTACTTTTCATCATTTTAATATGTATCTTCTATAATCACCATGTCACTTGCACAGTAAGGGGGGAGAAGACTAAGTGGTATAGATTTAAGAAAGCAGAGCATGTCACACCATTAAACTGAAAACCAACCAAATCTATTCTTTTTATTTTATATATCAGCATATGGCTTCCTGGTTAATGGCCTGAATAAAATATAATGTAATGCTATTCCCACATCCATTACACCTAAGATAATCTGGGACAATAACTCTTCATTATTCAGATCTTCTATCTATTCAGATCTTTCTGTCTATAACAGAAACAAAAATGGATTAATGAATGTTTTTATACTTTAAAGAAAAAATATTTTAAAATCTTGTTTTCTAAACAATATATAAGTGGGCAGTGCTATGCAAAGTGAAATAAGTTGATAAAAACCATGACAATTCACAACAGGTCTGCATCATACAACTATACAAATCTTTAAACACGAGATCTAATTACTAGAAGTTGAAGGCATATTGAAGGAATCCTTGACAATACAAGGCCTGGGTTTCAAAAAACTACCAATTCTAGAATGGATTCTACTCTGGAACTGTTTTTTTATTATTTTTTGTTGCATCTCTTTCAGTGTGAAATGGAACCTTTGAAACTCAGGTGTGGCATCAACGAAGTCAAGTAGGTAGTCCAACCTCTCTCTTACAGCAGATAATTGAAATTCAGCAGTCTGTTCTTCATCTCCTCCTCCTTTCTGAATAACTTCCTTTGTAATTCCACTTTTTGGCTTTGGGGAGCTACCCTTTTCTTCATCATCCCCATTAATCCACACCCTGTCATCGGCCAATGTGCTTTCCAACTCCCCACATTTCTCAAGGATTTCTCTATAATCTCCATCTTCTAAGCCCTGAAGATCATATTCAGGTTCCTTTTTGTAAAGAAGATTTTCCCATGCATTTGCTATGGTTATTTGTTTTACTTCATCCCAACTCTTTGCCCAGTTAAAAACTGCACTTTTTATGTTGTAGATTTTAATCTTGGAAACTCCTTTTTCTCCTCTATCTTGCTCATCATCACTTTCTTCAAAAATTACAAGACTCTCTTCAAGTTGCTTCCACCTATAAAGTCGTTTGCAGCTCAAGATCACGCCTTGATGCATTGGTTGAATCAAGGTTGAAGTATTATGGGGAAAGAACATGCATTTTATCCGCCCATCCTCACTGGTTAGTGATTCGGTGGAGGGGTGAACTGGAGAACTGTCCAGAAGTAACATGGCCCTGACATCCTCTTCATGGAATCCTAAAACATTAAGTTGAAAATGCCTGACCTCAGGAACAAAGTTTTGAAAGAACCATTCTGAAAACAATTCTCTGGTGAACCAAACGTCCTTACTAGGTTTATATATCACAGGTAATGTACTTGTGTCCTCTTTCACACTTTTGGGCAGCTTTGATTTTCCAATAACGATTGACTTTAATTTATGAGTTCCATCTGCATTTGCACATAAAAGAGCAGACAACCGTTCTTTGTTTATTTTCCTCCCAGGCAGGCAGATCTCTTTTCTGCTTGCCTGAATGTTTTCTGGCATTGACTTCCAAAAGAGGTCAGTTTCATCCCCACTGTACAGCTGAGCTACACTCAGCTTCTCCTCTTTGATAAGCATGTATAGATTTTGTCGAAATGGCTCAACATTTTCTGAAGCCGAACTTAGGGCTTGTTCCCCACATACTTTTTGATTCCCAATTGCATGCCTATTTCGAAATCTAAAAAGCCAACCAGTGCTAGCTTTAAAGTCTGTTCGCCCAAAACACTGTGCGAATCTCTCTGCAGCAGCTTGAAGCTCCACACCTCTAACAGGGATGCCAGCTGAGCGTTTCTGTTGGTACCACATGTAGACTGCATCATCCACATCACCATATTTGGCTCCTGTTGTCCTCTTTCTCTTCTCAGCCCCTACTAATGGCATGTCCTGCTTCAGTACAAAGTCCAAAATCAATTTCTTATTCTTTTTGATGTCATAAAATGTTGATTTACTGATTCCAAATTCATCCATTACACTTTTAAGAGATCGTCCAGCTTCAATCCTGCTGAGAACCTTCATCTTCTCCTCCAAATTCAATGTTGTATATTTCCCTCTCTTATTCATACTGAATTTGGTTTCAAACAACCAACAGGAGAAGAAAAGGGAAAAGCCTTGCCGGATTGGAAAAAAAAATAAAAGCAAAACAAAAAGACTAGCTTAAAGCCCCCAAAGGCACCAGCATTTGTACGGAAGGAGGGGGAGTGGGCCAAAAGGGATAAAGGCTCATGTTGGAAGTGCTAGCCTAGAGATGAAGATCTTAAGAACTCAGAGAACCATCAAAGCGCTACCTAGCTGTAGCTCCTGCAAGATATGGACAGTCTGTTTTCAGAACCCCATTCTCCTCTTTCTTGACACATACAGCAGCACCAGTCAGGAATAATGGGAATACCTGCATACTCTCCCTAACTCAACAGAGAAAGAGACAGCAGGAGAGAGGCAAGATATGTCCACAAGAACAAACCCAAGTGAGATAAGTCTATGTGCAAAATACTGCTTGAGAAGGGAGTATAAAAGCCTCAAGGGCATAGGCAGAGTAATCTTGTGTAGCAGAGATGCAGTGTGGTTTCTCCCCTTCCAAAAGGACCTGATTTTACGTCACTGCAAAAAAAAAAAAAAAAAAAAAGGTGCTCATGGTGCTCTGTAAACAGTGTTCACTGGGTGGCAGTCCATCCACCTGGATAAAGATTCTAAGCTATCCTGACATTGCAATGTCCTGACAGCTGGCATTCCAGAATAGCTGTATAGTATCTTTAGTGAACAAGAAAGTTAGTAGGTACTATTGTTCATGTGAAGAAATCTAACATTTATTACATTCAATATAGCATCCTCAAAGACTGAGCTTCAACTTATGTTTACCAAGGTAAAATGTAAGTATGTAAAAATTTCCTGGTGGCACTTTTCCACTCTCAGAGCATCTTCCTTGTGTATATCTGGTATATTCTCAAGAGTCGAATATTTTTCACTGAAGCTTTTCCATATTTTGGGGTTACCAAGTTTCAGAATCCTGGCCCAAAAGTTTTAAAAATATTTTACCATATTTAAAAATACTTTTAAAGATTTGATCTTTCATCTGTCGTTCTAAATTTACATTAGGATGTTAAATAGCAGATTTTTAAAATTTGTGACTTTATTCAATTTCTCTCCACTGTAGATTTTCCTTAATTTGAAACAATACTCACTTTTTCTCCCGCTTGAAGAAATTTAAAAGGTTTCTCTACTGGTGTTTCTGATATTCCTCAGTTATTCCTTGCAGGTCCTCCTGGATGCCCAGTACCATTCCACGTCCTTACAAATGTCCTACTCTAGATTAATTTCATAGTTTTCATTCGAGACACACAAACTCATGAGAAGTAACAAAAACCGCAACTTTTATCCATTTCAGGTGCTACGAAGAAAGAAAAGTATGTCAGAGAAATGAGGAAAATGATTGTCATTATCTTATCTTTCCTCACCTATACTGCAGAGCCTGATTAGCTTTCATTCATTACTCACTACAAAGAATTATTACAAGGTTCTCATCTGGAAACCCACAAGAGTCCAGGCTGCTAGTCCCCCCCCCCCCATTTATTGCTAGAAATGCCTACTGTCTTGTGGAGCACTGAGAGAATCATGAAAGACTATGATCCTGAGTAGGGTGTGGAGCAAATGCAGACTAAGATCTAGCAACCTTCTGAAAGGCAGCCATCACTGAGGGAATTAGTCACTGATGACTATATAAATGGAAAAAGCAAAAAGAGAGAATTGGTTATCTGTAACAGCAGCATTACTAACTCCAGCCTGCCACACAGCAAAACCATTCGGCCCGCTATGGCAGCTGCATGGTGTCTCGGAATCAAGTGCAAATCTTTCCTCTCACCGCTTCCCAGCTGTACACTGAGCATTTTTCAAGCAGTGCCCGGGCAGGGAAGAGGATTTCAAAAGGAAAGGCTGGGGCCACGTTGGTGGGCTCCACAGCAAGGGGAAGCAACTCTGGCACAGACTTCAAACTACGAAAATCATTACCGACCCTCATTCACTATCCCCCAGTTTATACCTTATTTCTTCTTGCTTTCTCAGGGTCTCTTAGTTTTTCTCCCCCAACATCCTCCACCCCCATGTTATGAATCAGGCCCACCAGTGGCATGCAAGGCCCCGGCTGCAGAATTCATTTATTCACTTTAGGAAGTTCCAATTACATGCTCAGCCTTGGGTCTGATGGTGAGGATCTCCATGCTACGAGCACTACTGTCCACTGGTTCTCGAAGCCTGGAAAGAAGCGTTGCCTTTGAACAAACTAACTCTCAACCTGACTCAGATTCCCAGGAAATGAACCTGCTCTGAAACCTACTCCAGTGACCTAGGCAGATGCCTATTCTTACCTCCTGTGTTTAATCCTTTGCTCTCACTCCGAAAGGATCAGAGAAGCACAAAAGGTTCCACCTTAAAAAGCAAAGTAAGGGGATCCCTGGGTGGCTCAGCGGTTTAGCACCAGCCTTTGGCCCAGTGTGCGATCCTGGAGTCCCAGGATCAGGCTCCCGGCATGGGGCCTGCTTCTCCCTCGGCCTGTGTCTCTGCCTCTCTCCCTCTCGCTATGTCTACCATGAATAAATAAATAAATCTTAAAAAAAAAAAAAAAGTAATATGCGGCCGGGTACTGGCCTCCCATTTTCATTCCCACCTTTACCTTCCTTCCGGATGAACTGCCCCGGAAAGATGGTCCCTCATACAGCCTCCAGTGATGCTCCAGGGTTTAGTCTAGGAAATGCAGTCTCTTCGCTGCCCCGCGGCGCCCCCGTGAGAGGTCAAGAACTTCTTTTCTAACGTGAGGCCTTCCCCCCAACACTAGCGGGATCGCACTTAGTGAGAACGTATGGCGGGTGTGCTCACACCCCAGTCTTCTCCAGCTCTCCGTCCGCGTGCGCGGGGCCCCACTCCCTGGGGGCACCTTTGTCATTTCCCAAGGAAAAGTCCCCTTTCCCTTCCTTCGGCTCGCGCGGCGCTCGGCTTCGGGCTCGCGTCCTCCTGGCCCGTGTGACCACGGAGGGTCGCCGAAACGCCGCGCCCTCCCGCCGGAGCCCCTGCAGCGAAGGCACTGCCCGAGCGCTCTAGCCCTGGCCGCCCGCGGGCCACCCGACAAGCAGCCCGCCGCGTGGCGAAGGCTGACCCTGGGAGGCCTGGGCACCCGAGATGCCCGGAGCCCGAGAAGCGGGGCGCACGAGCTCGGGCAGAGACCGCGGGGACGCCCACGGGCGGGGTGCCCGGCTCTGGGAGCATGCCGCGGCGGCGGCCGCAGGAGCCCCGATCCCAGCCTGCGGGCCCGCCTCACGGCCGGAACCTACCTCACCGGGCCCCCGGGATGGCTGCGAGGGGCGCGCGGCCCTGAGGAGGGCCAAGCAAGGCCTCGGGGCCGCCTGACCGCGACGAGAGCTCGGGCAAGGCCCAGGGCCCCGAGCGCGGCGGCGGCCACGCTCCCGGCGGGGGTCGGGGCACCAGGCGCCGCCGGCCGCCCGAGGGCCACGCAGGCACCAGCCGGCCGCGCCGCCCCCTGCCCCCAGGCCGCGGCGGGCCGGGCGCTCGGGGGCACTAGCTCTTCCGGCCGCCAGGGCGGCACCGGGCGGAAGGCCGCTCCCCGGGGCGAGGTGGTGGCCCGCGGCGCGGCTGCTCGGAGCCCCTCCCCGGAAGGGCGTCAGGGCGCTTCCGGCCCGAGCGCCGCGTCGGAAGGGCCCCGGGGCGCCGCGGGCCTGGGGGCGGGTGCTGAGGCCGGGCTCGGAGCGCGCGGGGCGGAGGCGGCGGCCTGCAGGTGAGCCTGCGGCAGGGGGAGCGGCGGCGCCCGGAGCTGCCGAGGGGCCCCGGCCGCCGCCATTGTCCGTGGGCGGTGGCGCCGCTGGGCCGGGCGGGCGCAGCCTGGTGGCGGGACGGGCCCGGGAGCCCCGCCGTCAGGCTCCGAGGCCGCGCCGCCGTCCCGCCTCGCTGGCCGCCGTGGCCGGCCCGGGCCTGTGCTGGGGCCCGCTGAGCCGCCGGGCAGCCGGGCCGGCCGCGTGGGAGCCCCGTGGGAAGCGGGGTGCCGGGACTTTGCTCAGCCTTGCCTGGAGGTCCAAGTGACCGTGGAGGAAAGGGAAGGTGGGCGGACGGCGCCCCACGCCAGCGACTCTCCTCTCCTCCCTTGCGACTTGGCCTTTGGAGAAACGTTTTGTAAGCAAAGGAAAGGTCAGCGGTGGTTTTTCTGGTTCAAGTCAAGAGAGCTTTGAACGCAGGAACCGATCCGTGCCCGGCGCCCTCTGTGCTGCTCGCAGGGAAGCGTCCCCCAGGAGTGTTGAGCGTCTAGCTCCGTGGCCCCTGGCTGCGCGCTGAGATAGGACTGCTTTTCCCTGATTGCTTTCCTTCTCTGCTCTCACTTTTGGGTCCCAGCTCTCCTGCCCGTATCGGTCAGTGGGAAGGAGAATCTGGAACGTTCCCGCACCGAGGGCTTCCGTCTTCACAAGAGGATGAAGGGTCCGAGAAGTTGGACTCCCTTGCTAGAGACAGAAGACTGGGCTGACAGGTTAAAATTTAAGAGGAACTCAGAATGTTCCCCTGATCCTCCCTGGGCTTGGGGGAGCTGGGATAGGACGCCCGACGAGGAGGTGTTTGCATAACCCCGAAGCTCGGTGCAGCCGGAGGGGTCAATGTTCTCACTGTCTAACCTTTCCTGAATCGTTACCATTTTTACCAAGGCCAACTCTTCAGTGGGCGTTTCTCTATAGTGAACTGTGCCTTATTTCAAGTGGCGAATAGCAGAGAGAAAGGGGCTGGCGGTGGATTCTAAAAGGAAAGCAAGGCAGGATTTTTCTCTTCATTTTTCTCCCATTGTGACTAGCGGGTATCCAAGCTCCTGTGAGGGATCCCTGGGTGGTTCAGTGGTTTGGCACCTGCCTTTGCCCCAGGGCGTGATCTTGGAGACCCAGGGGCTGCCTGCATGGAGCCTGCTTGTCTCTCTGTGTCTCTGCCTCTCACTGTTTCTCATGAATAAATAAAATCTTAAAAAAAAAAAAAAAGTTCATGTGACTTTCTTACTGATGTGCACTTTTTTTCTGCTCTTAGTGTTTTAGGAAGAAGATCCTTTTATTGATTTTGTTCCAGAGCTGACTGGGCATTGTATGCCAAAGGTGGTCCTGCTGGGGTGTCCAACACAAGAGTAAAACTATTCCTGCAGCTGAATAATGATGGTAGATCTGAAGGTAGCTGACTGTTTGAACCCTCAGATCAAAGCTCTGTGGGAAAACAAGGGGCCTGTGATAGAGAGTTCCAGTCACAGCAAGAACTATATCGCACAAACCGACAGTCTCAGTCCTGAAAGCTGTCGCCAGCACTTCCGGAACTTCTGCTATCAGGAAGAAGCGGGACCCCGTGAAATTGTTGGACAACTTCAGGAATTATGCCGTCAGTGGCTGAGGCCAGAGATCCACTCAAAGGAGCAGATTTTGGAACTGCTTGTGCTAGAACAATTCGTGACCATTCTACCCAGGGACACCCAAAGCCGGATAAGGAAGGACCATCTACAGAGCATTGAGGAGGCTGTGGTCCTGGTAGAACACTTGCAGAGGGAATCTTGTCAAATGAGGAATGGGGTGAGAAGAAAGATTCCTGATTCATGCATTCAAATAAGATGAAAGTGGATATGGGTGTGGGCAGTTGAGAAATAAGGTGAACTGGGTCACTCTTCTGTTGTAGGACATCTAAGGCAGGACCAGAAACCAAAAACCCACAGCAGTAGTCCACAGGTTCCACAGATCCTTGGCAGATACTTCCTGGCCTTCGAGAAGAATTGCTTTTGTGCTCTTTAGAGCCAGAGTTCAAGAGTAGTAAGTCTAGTTTGGCTCGTGCAAGGACATGGGTTTTGGGCTCCAAATGAATAAAAGATAGTAAGGAGCTGGAGAGGAAGAGGACTTGGAAAAGGGTGAACACTTAAAATGAAAGTTGAGTGGAGATAGTAAGGAGAAGGAAAACCCAAATGATTGGAGAAGAATGCAAAGGGAGAGAAAATTAGGCAGAAGAAAGGGAAACATTTGAAAATTCTAGCAGAGTAGCTGAGAAAAGAAAGACGTTGAGGGATAGTGTCTTCTGACTCATAGGAGAGAGGCTCCACAGTGCTCTTGATGGTCCTTGGATCTGCTGGGTAATGGGGAACATGTCCCTAGCCAGGTGGCAGAACAGTAACTGGCTTCAGGCCTACTGAGGGGAATAAAGGGCAGGCATATGTTTAAGGCCAAAATCATTCAGAGGTTGCTTGGGCCAAATCTTCTTTCATTTCGTCCCTGTTCTGTGAAAACCGCCTGGATATGGGGATAATCTGGTGGAGGAGACCACTTCCTTTGTCAATTTTTTAATCTTTGTGAGAAGACAGAAAAACACTAAAGAGGGATTTTTTTTTTTTTTTTTTTTTTTTTATTCATGAGAGACACAGAGAAGCAGAGAAAGAAGCAGGCTCCATGCAGGGAGCCTGATGTGAAATTTGATCCCAGGTCTCCAGGATCACACCCTGGGCCTAAGGGAGATGCTGAACTGCTGAGCCACCTGGGCTGCCCACTAAAGAGGGATCTAAGCCAAGAGAAAGCCTGTCAACCTAGTATGAGAACAGGTGGCCTATTGTGGCCCTGTTAGTGATCTAAGCTGGTCTATATGCATAGGGGTGGGGCCTGCTGTGTCAGAGGCCTAGCAATAGCCACATTTTTTCCCCTTGTATCCTAATATTGCAACATTCTGGGTAGTTCTCTGTAGAAAATTGACCGTATTTAAGCCTTTTTGTCATTTCCTTTAGTGTCACACACTTTCCATCATCTGGACTGTTCACTTTTTCCTTTTACAATCAACCCCGAAACTAAAAGTAATTTTTGTGGTAACAAAAATGGGGATTATTTCTAGGTTGCAGTCCAAGAGCTGGGAAAGGAGGCAGTGCTCTTGGAAGAAACAGCAGAATCCCAACCAGTGGGCATGGCCCAGGATGAAGAATTCTGGAATACATACCAGGGTCTGCAAGAACAGCTGAGCAGGGATATTCATAAAGAAACTGAGCCTGTATGTGAGAGGGGTAAGGCACATTATGATAATTCCCTTCTTTTGGGAGCTATTAGAGGAATTTGTTCAGCCAGAACATTGTGAGGATTTTCTGTGTCCCCAGCTATGTGGATGGGCAAACAGGCATATTAGCAGTTATGATGTCCTCGAGGTTGCGGTAGAGCACCAGCTGTGGGTAAGCTGTGAGTTGGCCTAGGGTACAGAAGTATCCAACCTACAGAACCTGGGTAATAACCCCATGAACTCTGTTCGTTACAAAGCAGAGTGGAATGTGAACACACTTTTGTACCAGGAGAAAAATAATAAATGATTAAAAAAAAAAAACTACATCTCATCATACACTGGATATCCTGAGTACTTCATTTTTGAATATGTTGAATTTTTGCCTTAGAACAATTCACATTATGAGAGGAAGATAAAAGGTTTTTCTTCCATTTACTCATAAAAACTGGGGAACCTAATATAATGACTGGTAGATACATGGCTCTTTTGTATGATGACAAGACCATTTCAGGGAATCACACACTCTTGCAAGGATGTCCCCACTCTACCCAAAGAATTGGGATCATCTATATTTTAGAAATGAGCTAAGGATGTTTATAGATAAGTGAGAGATTTCCTCTGGCTCTTTTCCACCCACAGTTGTGCCAGCTCACCAGATCCTAGCATTTCCTGTGCAGACAAACGCCACAGACTGGACAGTGGCACCCAAGCTCATCTTACCTGAGTCCCAGGTGAGCTGTGCAATCCAGCTATTGAGGGCTGCCTTCCTCTGCTGCCTAGGACCCACTCTGCCCAGCTTGCAGGCATATTAACCCCATTGTACTCCCTGGGGAACTAGGCACCTCCTAGGTTGTTGATGACCCCTTGCTTTTTTTCATTTTTGCCTTCTTAAAGAAAAAAGAAAAAAGTGCTATTAATTCCTTGAGTGCCCAGGGTCTACCGTGGACCAGATGGCAGGGCTGCTTCTGTAGTGGCAAGTACTGAGCTGAAGCCCATTGTCTTCTTTAGAGCTTGTTGACATTTGAAGAAGTGGCCATGTATTTTTCCCAGGAAGAATGGGAGTTACTGGATCCCACTCAGAAGGCCCTCTACAATGATGTAATGCGAGAAAACTATGAGACTGTCATCTCTCTAGGTAAAGAAACTCCCTCTCCCATCGGGTAGAAGTTGAGTAATCTGTCATGTTCTTTGCTTCCTGGGAATGTATTTCTCTGAGAAACTGTGTTCTAGTAACTGGTTCTCAACTATCTGGTGTGTGGACAGAGGAAAGGTGTATCCAGATCACCTGGGGAGCTTTTTCCAAGTGCATATGCTCATTCTTTACCCTAAAATTCTTGATCTCTCCCTCCCCTTTCTTTAAATCTCTTCTTTTGCCTTTTCCATCTCCATAAAGAGTAGCACCACTCACCAAATATCTTAGGCCAGAAAATATGTGATCATTCTTTACTCTGATCTTGCTCTTCTTCCCCACTCCTAATCTTCCTCGTGGCTCCACATTCACAGTATACCCTGAATCCAACCATGTCTCATCCTCTTGAATTGTTATCTTGGTCTAATCCAGGGGAGTGTAAAACCAGGCTCACCTCAGTACTTTCTAACTGGTGCTTGCTGGCACCATTCTTAGCCTTCCACAATGTACTTTTCATGCAACAGCCAAGGTTTTTAAAAACTCTGATGGATTTTGATGTCATCCTTTTAAAAATCTTATAATGACTTCTCACTCTTTCAAGTAAAATCTAAATTCCTCACCAAAGTACCCAGGAGCATCCAAGATCTGGTCTCTAAGCATCTGCCACTTGTACCTTTCCTCAGCCCTCTTTATCCATATTGATACTGCTGTTTCTTGAACTCACCAAGTTAATTTCTACTTGCCCATTTCTATTCTTTGTCACAGTGGACAGAGTTCTGCAATTTTAAACACTTCTTAATTTTGCCCAACTGAGTATTTCATGATGCATAAGGAAAAAAAATCCTTTTATTGCTTTCATTCATGAAACCAAAGAAAGTCAACTGGGGAACCTGTTGTAGAGATTATTTTTTCTTTTTAAGATTTATTTATTTATGATAGAGAGAGAGACACAGAGAGAGAGGCAGGCCCCATGCCGGGAGCCCAATGTGGGACTCGATCCCGGGACTCCAGGATCGCACCCTGGGCCAAAGGCAGGCACTCAACAGCTGAGCCACCCAGGGATCCCCATTTAGAGGTTAATAGATACTCAATTCTTTTTTTTTTTTTAAATAATAAGTTTATTATTTTTGGTGTTCAATTTGCCAACATACAGAATAACACCCAGTGCTCATCCCGTCAAGTGCCCCCCCTCAGTGCCCGTCACCCATTCACCCCCACCCCCCCGCCCTCCTCCCCTTCCACCACCCCTAGTTCGTTTCCCAGAGTTAGGAGTCTTTATGTTCTGTCTCCCTTTCTGATATTTCCCACACATTTCTTCTCCCTTCCCTTCTATTCCCTTTCACTATCATTTATATTCCCCAAATGAATGAGAACATATAATGTTTGTCCTTCTCTGATTGACTTATTTCACTCGGCATAATACCCTCCAGTTCCATCCACGTTGAAGCAAATGGTGGGTATTTGTCATTTCTAATGGCTAAGTAATATTCCACTGTATACATAAACCACATCTTCTTTATCCATTCATCTTTCGATGGACACCGAGGCTCCTTCCACAGTTTGGCTATTGTGGACATTGCTGCTAGAAACATCGGGGTGCAGGTGTCCCGGCGTTTCATTGCATCTGTATCTTTGGGGTAAATCCCCAACAGTGCAATTGCTGGGTCGTAGGGCAGGTCTATTTTTAACTCTTTGAGGAACCTCCACACAGTTTTCCAGAGTGGCTGCACCATTTCACATTCCCACCAACAGTGTAAGAGAGTTCCCTTTTCTCCGCATCCTCTCCAACATTTGTGGTTTCCTGCCTTGTTAATTTTCCCCATTCTCACTGGTGTGAGGTGGTAGATACTCAATTCTTATTTACAATACGAAGGCCACTTCTAGGTAAGATGTAACAGTTTTATTTTTTTTTTTAAGATTTTATTTATTTATTCATAGAGACACACAGAGAGAGAGGCAGACACACAGAGGAGAAGCAGGCTCCATGCAGGGAGCCCGACATGGGATTCGATCCTGGGTCTCCAGGAACACACCCTGGGCTGCAGGCGGCGCTAAACAGCTGTGCCACCAGGGCTGCCCTAATATTTTATTTATTCATGAGAGCCACAGAGAGAGAGGCAGAGACACAGGCAGAGGGAGAAGCAGGCTCCATGCAGGGAGGCCCTTACACGGGACTCGATCCCAGGTCTCCAGGATCACGCCTTGACTGAAGGTGGTGCTAAACCGCTGAGCCACCCAGGCTGCCCAGATGTAACAGTTTTAAAAGTATTCCATTTCTGCTGAAAGAATCAGGATTATCTGTACTTTAGAAATAACCTAAAGATGTTCATAATCAGTAGCAAGAGAAATTTCCTCTGGCTCTTTTCCACCCACAGCTGTGCCTGTTCACAAGATCCTAGCCTTTCCTGAGCAGATAATCACCAAAGAATCGACAGTGGCACCTGAGCTCGTCTTGCCTGAGTCCCAGGTGAGCTGTGTGATCCAGCTATTGAGGGCTGCCTTGCTGCCCAGGACCCACATTGTTGTGTCGGTGCTCACACGTGCCAATATTCTCTAGAAACTAGGCATCTCCTACTCTGCTGCTGATCCTTTTGCCTCCTTCTTTTCTCCATTTTCACTTAAAAAATTATTTGCTGTTAATTCATTCAGCCTTGCCTACCATGTAATTCATGGGCCAGAAAGTAGGGCTGCTTCTGTAGTGGCAAGTACTGAGCTGAAGCCCATTGTCTTCTTTAGAGCTTGTTGACATTTGAAGAAGTGGCCATGTATTTTTCCCAGGAAGAATGGGAGTTACTGGATCCCACCCAGAAGGCCCTCTACAATGATGTAATGCGAGAAAACTATGAGACTGTCATCTCTCTAGGTAAAGAATCTCCCTCTCCCATCGGGTAGAAGTTGAGTAATCTGTCATGTTCTCTGCTTCCTGGGAATGTATTCATCTGAGAGGCTTTGTTCCAATAACTGGTTGTTTCTGAACTAGATGGTCTGTAGACAGGGGTAGGGTATATGCAGATCACCTGGGGACCTTTGGGCAGATGCACCCTCCAGATGGTATGTAGATTCCTTTTTTTGTTTTGTAGATTCTTGATTTATTTTTTCTCCTCTCCCAAATCTGTTCTCATATCTCTCACTTCTCAGTAAAGAACGTTTGCCCGGGAACTAAGAGGAAGGAACATACAGTCATCCTTGACTGTGATCTTGCCATCATAACCCATTTTAATGCATCCCTGTCCTTTTGGCTCCACTTCCACAGTGTAGCCTGAGTGCAGCCATGTCACATCTCCTTGTGCTGTTAGCATCCTGGCTTAAGCCAGCAGCCTGTCTAACCAGACTGACCTCAGTACTTTGGTGCCCCTGCCTCTTGCCTTCCCACACTCCAGAATCTTTAAAAAAACTTGATGAAATCATGACATTTCCCATTTCAAACCTTATAATGGCTTCTCATCACATTCAGAATAAAATGCACACCTTATTGAAGTGCTTAGGGTCCTCTAGGATCTGACCCTGTACACCATGGTGCCCTCATCTGCTGCCACTTGTGCCCTTGCTCAGTCCTCCTGAGCCTCACTGATCTTTTTGTTTCTTGAACTTGCCTTCCTCACTTCTACTTTGATCTTTCCTCTGCCTGGCACACATTTCTGGCCATTGGCAAAAACTCTCGCTTTTACGTTTTTGCTGCATATCAGCTTTTCAAGGAGGTCTTCATACTACCTCATCTAAAATAGCTTCAGAGAAGCAGAATCTTAAATGCTGAGTTATCCTGCTTTAATTTTTTTTCAAAATATTCATCACGTGCTGAAAACGTTATTGCTGTTTGGTTGTCTGCTCCCACCAGAAGGTGAGCTCCTGTGAGGTCAGGGGCTTGGATTAATCACCACTATATCATTAGCCCAAAGAGAGTGCCTGGCACATTTTAGCCAATCATTACAGATTGATTGAATGAATGAGTGATGAATAGTTCTCCAACTTGACAATGTATATTTAGAAAAGTTTCTCTGATTCTGGTCTGTTTCTTCCACATGGATAAGAAGCAGTGAGCTAAAGGAGTAGGAGAAATCTTTCCTAGTCCAGTGTTTGCTGCTTAAGGGGCTAAGTAAGAAGTTAACTGTTATCATGAGGGGAATCACTGATGCACATGATACATCAGTAATCCACTGACCTGTACCTTGCTCTGCTAGACTTGGGCTAATCCTAAGGAATTAATAGGACTAACTTGTATTCCCTGCAGACTCTGGGGTTTGGTTCCATCTTGTTCAAATATAGGGCAATCTTGGTGGCAGAAGAGGGGCACTGTGGATGGATTCCCATGCACTTTATCCTCTCCATGAATCCAGCTTAGGTTTATTTCTCTATCTCTCCATTGTGTACACAGTATAGTATAAACCCGAAACCAGACGGGAGAGTCTACTTACTCATTGACCACTGTAAACTGTCCTTTGCTGCTTCTGAAATAGTATGGAGTGGGTGGACAGTTGTTGAGTTCCCAGTCCTTGACCTCCGTTTTTCCATTTCACAGCATTATTTGTGCTCCCCAAACCTAAAGTGATCTCCTATCTAGAACAAGGAGAAGAGCCATGGGTTCAAGGGCCCTTGGAGTTCAAGGACAGTCTTGGAGAGCTGCCTACAGGTAAATATACCATGGGAAGAGGACAAATGTTCTTTGATAGCAACCTTTGCAGGGAATTAGCATTTAAAATTTTGCTTATTGGGGCACCTCAGTGGCTCAGTTGGTTAAATGTCTGCCTCAGCTCAGGTCATGATTCCAGGGTCCTAGGATTGAGCCCCTCATCTGGCTCCCTGCTCAGTGGGGAGTCTATTCCTCCCTCTCTTCTCTGCTTGTGCTCTCTGTTGCAATCTCTGTCTCTCAAATAAATAAAGTCTAAAAAAATAATGAATTCTGCTTATCTGTATTTTCTATGTCAGTAATCATTGAATTTTTCTATTTTGCTCTTCCCTACATTTGGCTGATTGTTATGTTTATTCCCATAGGGTTAAAGCTCAAAACTGACACTGAGAACCATCAGCCTGTATGTCTTTCTGACTTAGAAATACAGGCACCAGGAGACGTCGTATCAAAAAAGACCAGAGTGAAAGTTCTCCAGAAAATGACAGGCAAGGAAAATCATGGTGATACACATAGGATGGGGAAGTGGCACCGAGATTTTCCCATAAAGAAAAGAAAGAAATTTTCAAGCTGGAAACAAGAGTTGCTAAAACTTATGGATCTTCATAAGAAAGCCCGTGTTGGAGAAAAGCCATTTAAATGCCAGGAATGTGGGAAAAGCTTCAAAGTTAGCTCTGACCTTATTAAACACCAAAGAATTCACACTGAAGAGAAACCATATAAATGTCAACAGTGTGATAAGAGGTTTAGATGGAGTTCTGATCTTAATAAGCACTTAACAACCCACCAAGGAATAAAACCATACAAATGCTCCTGGTGTGGGAAAAGCTTCAGTCAAAATACAAATCTACATACACACCAAAGAACTCACACTGGAGAGAAGCCCTTTACATGTCATGAATGTGGAAAAAAATTCAGTCAGAACTCCCACCTTATTAAACATCGGAGAACCCACACAGGTGAGCAACCTTATACTTGTAGCGTGTGCAGGAGAAACTTCAGCAGGAGATCAAGCCTTCTTAGACACCAGAAACTCCACCGCTGAACTGAACAGAAGCTTATCCAGGGTCCTCATTCTGAAGAAATTCACCAAATAGAGGTGACCATGAGGTTTACAAAACAAAATACAAAAGCATGAATAATACTTAATCAGTGAAAAATTTAGTGATACAAATATATTAAACAGAAAGGAATCAAGGTTGACTCTGCCAGGGATTCCTGTAAGTAGTTTTGTACTATTCACATTTTTACACATAACCTTCAGGGAATTCATTAGCAAGAAAGGTGTTGAAAGAAACATTTTTGCAATTCTACCTGGCAAAATCGCCAATACAGCTTTTAATAGCAGAAGCATACATGAATCAATCTTTTGTGACTACAGATGGTAAATACTGTTGGTTTTGCCATGAATTCCCAGCCAGCTTTAAACACATGATAGAAACATTTGTAGCATGGTCTTCCAAAAGAAAAAGCAATAATCTGCATGTTTAATTGCATGCCATTGCCTTCAAGGTACTAGGATTACCAATTTCAAGAGATCTATGGCACAAAAATGAATTGTCAAATTTTCCAAGAACCAAATTGGATTTTCATCCTCTCCCATGTGATTGGACACTCTTCCCAAAATTGGACATGATTTGAGTTCTTAAAATTTTAGCAACTTTAGCTCTTGAATCCTTTTAGCACCATTTTTACTGTGATGAGATGTAATTTACTTCACCACTAGGGAATCTGCCAGATAAAATACTAATGCACTATCTTATACCTCATTGGTAGTGTTTGAAAAAGATAAACATCTCTAATGAGATCATATGAAAACAGGTTGGAATGTTTAGCCATGGATTATGTATTACGAGTAAAGAATTTTCTGTAATAAAAGAAAGTAGACTTTATAATCTCAGTATGATAAAACATAGAGCACTTTTTTTTGGCCTAAAAGAAAATTAACAGGAGTTCAGGATGAGCTCACGATTTTATTTGCTTTTTCATTTGGCTTTCGTTTGTCTTTAAGAAAAAGGACAGGGGCACCTGCAGGGCTTACTTGATTAAGTACCTTCAGCTCAGGTCAATGATTTCAGTTCCTGGGATCCAGCCGAGAATCTGGCTCCTTGCTCAGTAAGGAATCTGCTTTTCCCTTATCCTCTCCTGCCCCTCCCCACCATTCGTGCACCCACATGTGCTCACATGTCTCAAATTAAAAAGCACACACACACACAAGGATAGCGTTATGCTTAGGAACTGCAGTGTGTGCTGACTGTATGATATGGTTTACTGGGTGTGGCAGGAGATTGGGTTCCCAAGAGGAAAGATTTGGGAAGTGATGCTGAGTGGTAGGCAAAGATGAGTGAATCTGCATTCATGTTGTCTTTCACTGTAAACCATTACTAGGCAGGCAGAGTCCATCTGTCTCTATACAGCACTTAAAACAGCCTTAATTGGTAACTAATAGATGGCTGAATATCTCTATGGGCTGTGGATCGTCTTAGGACTCCTATCTACAACAGTGACTCAGCATGTGTTCCTATTAGAGGTTTTAGGTGGTGTCAGGAAGGGGGTTAAATGATCTCTTCCAAATACCTTATGAAAGATGAAGTTAAGGCTCAGATACAAGGAATTGTTCAAGAGCAGCGAGTCAGCTGTCCCTTAGCTGCATCAGTGAGCCCTGAAGGCAGGATTAACAGGATGTGAACGTTACCCCTGCAGGGCACTGGGTGACATTGTGTTGTATCTATTTCTAACTATAGAACATTCCTGTGGCTTGATTGGTTGCCAAAACACCAGGGTCTCCATGTTCTCTATTTCAACTCAGGGTTATTCTAGGATAAGAGGAGTTGCTGAAAGAAAAGCACCTCACAGCCTGGCCAGTGGTGGATGCTCAGCCCATGTGCATTTGTTTCCCTTTCCCCTGCTCCCCAGTGATCTGCTGGGCAGACTGCAGTAAGGAAGCAGATGTATTTATGGCACTGTAGGTGGTGATTTTGCTCAGTTGATTTAGTCCTTGGCCTCAGTACATCAGTACATTATGGTGTAAGTCACCTGAGCTGGTGCTCTCAGCAGGATTTTATTTTCTTCCCCAGATGAACTACACCAAGTATTATTTCATAAGCACAGCCAACTATGAAGCTGCCTTATACATAGCCATTGCCCATCGCCCTCATCCTTAGGCTTTGGGTACCCTGATCTCATCCCAGGATACAGGTGGACATCTTGGTGCTATGTTCAGTCGATTTCATGGGGGCCGCTTGTGTGCCCAGACACTGTTCTAGACTGAGAACATAGTAGTGAGCAAAAGAGCTAAAGATACACCCTCACAGGGCCAGTGTTCTAGTGAAGAGTAAAAGGAGTTGTTATGGTTTTCTCCTCGCAGTTGCAGACGAAGGATAGTTGTGGGTAATGGGTTGTGAGCAGAAGCCCCACTTCTGGGCTAAAGCTTTTGTTTATTGGTGCAGGACTCTGTAGTGTTCTTCCTGCATCAGTCGTGGAAGCCCTTATAGAAACGGGCCACAAAAAGTCAAAGTCGTCTGGGATCCTGAGCCCCCCACCTCCATGGAGAGCACCTGTAATGGACTTTATGGGAATGAGAAATAAACTTCTGTTAAACTACTGAGATGTTGGTGCCGTGTATTTTCGCAGCATACCCTGTCTGCCCAGGCAGAGGTGGCTATTCTACTAGAGTTCTGGAACCTTTTCTGTGTCAGTCCACGTGGACTTTGCCCTTAGAAGATATTTGCCTCCTAGATGGCCCACTGAGCTCATGTAACATGGATAGGCACGCTGAGGAACTGACAAGACTAGGCAATAGGAAAGGACTGATTTTTTACCTGAGACAAGTCCAGGTTGGTCAGTTTTTCAAGTGCATGGAGCAACCATCTATCTTTCCCTCCCTCTCTGGTTTCATTCCCCTTTCCTTGCTCTCTGTTCCTCATGCTCCACTGTCCTTGTCTATAAGATGTCTATAAGATGACCAATGGGCTAGAGAGAGGATAGGTTGCTTTTCATTCCTCCCATGAGTGCAGGAGACTTTAAGCAATCACTTGGTAATTCCCTCTTTCATAGCTTCTGTGAGTTGCCTCAAATTACACAGGACCTAGGACAGAAGCACATTTGTCTTGACTGGTGACACGAAGGTGACTGCCCTCTGGACCAAGTGGTTGGAAAGAAGGTTTTACAGGAAAGCAGGAGCAGGACATTGCAGTTGAGAAGTGAGAAGCCTCTATCGGAGTGTCTGCATAGCCAGTTACCAGCAGCAGTGTTCCACAACTCAGGATTAGGATTAGGGTTGGACATGTGCACAATGGAAGAAGGAATTTCTGTAGCTTCCTCACATGAATGAGAGCAGATTACCAAAAAAGCAACATGGAATCAAAATGTATTTATACATGGTTTAAAGAGAAAGTGTAACACATAACCCCAGGTTTAGCCTGAAACATAGGTATTAAATTTCTCAGAAATACATCCTTTATAACCAAATGATTCTAGGATAATCCAGAAGATGCTCCATTTCATATGGTTCAGATAACAGCCTTACAGTGGCTGCAAGCTTGGTTCTGAGAACTGGATTGGTGACTTGTGTTTCCCCAAGTCCTCAACCTCTTTTCTGCACTGTGCTAAGTGGCCACAGTGCAGAGACTGCCAGACCTAGAGTTCTCCCCACCATTAGACAGACATGATCTGGAACCTCACACTGATCTTGTGAACCTCCACTGCCTTTGCTGGAGGGGAAGGTCAGGAGGAGAGCTTGGAATCAAATTAAAATGCGGGGGTTGATGAGCTTTTGGAACTATGAGAAGAGTGTTTCATTCCCCTGGAGAGCTGGAGAGCAAGAATGCTAAGCACTTTTTGAAGCTTGTATTACTTCTCTTGTTCTTTCAATGAAGAGGCACTTCTGCAATATTCAGTTCTATGATCTCTTTGAAACACCCAAATTTTATTTTATTTATTTATTTTTTTAATTTTTATTTATTTATGATAGTCACAGAGAGAGAGAGAGAGAGAGAGAGAGAGAGAGAGAGAGAGAGAGGCAGAGACACAGGCAGAGGGAGAAGCAGGCTCCATGCACCGGGAGCCCGATGTGGGACTCGATCCCGGGTCTCCAGGATCGCGCCCTGGGCCAAAGGCAGGCGCCAAACCGCTGCGCCACCCAGGGATCCCCGAAACACCCAAATTTTAAAATCCAAACTTGCACAAGGGCTCTCTCTTCCTTTTGCTCAGGTACCGGTCATATCTGCTCTTATCCATCTGAGCACTGTATATATTTCCATCATAACATGCATCACCACTTAGAGTTGTTTGGATTGTTTACTTGTTTTGTCTGTCTTCCCCCATGTAAGCATGAGGAGCGCAGGGGCTGTGTCTCATGTAGCCCTGACTCTTCAGTGTCAAGCACAAGACTGACACATTATCATCTGTAATAAACACAAGAATGCAATATTACAAAGGGGAGAGGCTGCAATGCAATGGCCACCTGCACATTAGCTTTGGTTACTCAGAGCATTGACTGGTTCAATAATCTTCCTTCTTGAGGTATCAAGTTCTTCATTGGTTGTGATGGCCATGAGTCCTAGTCTTGCTCTTTACCCAAAAAGGTAGAAGAAAAGAGCTTCAAGTCTTCTGAAGGATCACACAGAGAATTATATGTGGGGACCTATGATTATCCAAGGCTATCATTTTATCTGCATGAATGCTCAAACCCAAGGCTCAGAGATCTTCACCCTGGAATAGGAAGAGTGGATTCCACGTATACTGCAGGAATATCACCCCTGCTCAGGTTGCTCCTCCTCCTGGTATCCATCTCTGCAATGTCTGCTCTCTAGCATTTGCTTTACTGGTAAGAAGAACCTGAAGGATCACATAGACCTAGCAGTCTTGTAAGTATTCGAGCCTCTCCTGCCATGGAGGATGTATAGAGAAGGATATGGAAAGGACCTTAGAAATCTAGGTCCTTCAGTGTATCCCAAAATGGTACTCAGAAAACACTGTGACATGTGCAGAGATATTGCATGAAAAAAGTATTCTTTAAGTAAATTCGCGGGTGATAGTTTAGGATAAAGTGCATGTTTTGTTACAGGAAATTTTCTCAGAGCATTTACGTTTAAATGTGTAGCATGAAACCGGGGTGGGGATGGTCAAAGGAGAGGAGTGTAAGCACGCAGTGAATACCAGCCCTGTTGGATTGTGGAGGCCCTGGCAGCGGACCTGTTGTGTGCAAGAGTCTCACCTAACAACTCTCATGATGGTTTTGTGGAACTCCAGTGTGGGAACACAGAATTAGTTAATCCTTTCACCATTATTGAAACCTGGGAGAATAACTGATTTAGTAGGACAAAACTAGTTCCTGTGACATATGGCTTGCAACTTATTATCCTTTTCCTCCATACTAGACAGCATCTTTGTTAGGGGGACAGGCTTTGTTATTACAGAGTTTGGAAGCTGAAGCTTCAGATCCCAAGACTACCTGTTGCAGACACTAGACTAGGGCCTGTGCATCCTCCTTCTAGGAGATGACTTGGAGAATTCTCCATTGCAAGGGCCTGGCAGGAGAATTCACTTCTCCAAGGTCAACATGAGCAATTGTGTTTGGCATCTTCTACACCTATTAAGGGATCCAAGTGCTTTAGCAAGAACAATCTCAATAGCCTCCAGCATCTCCCAGGACAAAGAGTGCTTTGCAAATGGGATTGGCTTATGGCACTTCAGTTTTACAGAGGGCACTAATACCAGGGTATAGGGAAGTATGAACCCAGTATCACATCTTTCAACTTCAAAGTTCATCTTACAGGATCTCATCTACCCCACTTGCCAGGAGGGTGAAGAACTGATCATCAGCCCCATCTGAGAAAGCAGGTAGATAAGGCAAACGGCAAGGAAGCAATGGTCTTAAGTTGTGTTGGAGAAGATGCAAGGAGAGATTGAGGATTTCTGGTTTCTAGTTCAAATACATGGAAGGTCCTTTGAATATGAGAGCTCTGGGAAGAAATCAAATTCTGGTCATGCAGTTGGGGAACAGGATTTAGGAGTCAAGGCTCCTGGCTGACTACTTTTTTTTTTTATTTGTTTATTCATGAGAGACACAGAAGGCAGAGACAAGCAGGTTCCCTGCGGGAAGCCCAATGCGGGATTCAATTTCAGGGCTCCGGATCACATCCGGAGCCAAAGGCAGATGCACAACCACTGAGCAACCAAGGTGTCTCCTGGCTGACTACTTAGTATGCATTCTTCCCCTTCAGCTCTCTGACACAAGCCTGCCAGTGCTCCATTCCACCACCATCCTGACCCCTCATGTCAGCCTTTACCATTTCAGAAGGAAGAGAAGGAGAGACTGGCCCATGGGCATCTAGAAAACTGCTGTCACTCTTGACTAAATGTTGATCTCTAGCCTGTCTCTCTAAGGGCTAAAATTCCCTTCTTAGGGATGATGTCTTGTTCTCAGGAAGAACCCCGTTTTTTTCTGGATAATTCTGGAGAGTTAACTAGAATGCGATATCCTCCAAAACCCTTTCTTGTTCCATACACAGTCTCAGACCTGGAAACAGTCCCCCTTTCAACCTTTCTCAAGCTCAAAGGGGTCTGAGATGTTCAAGAGAGTTACAGGAAAAGCTGTGTGATTTTGCATTCCCATCAACAATGAATAAAAGTTCCTATTCCTGAACATCTTTGCTAGCAGTTGTTTTCAGGTTTTTTTGATTTTCACCATTCTGATCACTGTATACTGTTAAATTGTTTCATTTGCAATTTCCTAAGAACATATGATGTGGATCATCTTTTTATTTGGGTACATTATTTAGTAAGGGGCCAGTTGAGATCTTATGCCCATTTTTTTATTGAGTTGTTCATTTCTAATTTTTGCATTTTAAGAATTCTTCACATAATTTAACAGTCCTTTAACAGACATGTCTTTTTTTTTTTTAAATAAGCTCTAATGTTACCCAGGGCAACTTACACGTTTAATGCAATCCCTATCAACATACCATGGACTTTCTTCAGAGAGTTAGAACAAATTATTTTAAGATTTGTGTGGAATCAGAAAAGACCCCGAATAGCCAGGGGAATTTTAAAAAAGAAAACCATAGCTGGGGGTATCACAATGCCAGATTTGAGGTTGTACGACAAAGCTGTGGTCAAGACAGTGTGGTACTGGCACAAAAACAGACACATAGATCAATGGAACAGAATAGGGAATCCAGAAGTGGACCCTCAACTTTATGGTCAACTAACATTCGATAGAGGAGGAAAGACTACCCACTGGAAGAAAGACAGTCTCTTCAATAAATGGTGCTGGGAAAATTCGACATCCACATGCAGAAGAATGAAACTAGACCACTGCCTTGAACCATACACAAAGAAAAATTCAAAATGGATGAAAGCTCTAAATGTGAGACAAGATTCCATCAAAATCCTAGAGGAGAACACAGGCGACACCCTTTTTGAACTCAGCCACAGTAACTTCTTGCAAGATACATCCATGAAGGCAAAAGAAACAAAAGGAAAAATGAACTATTGGGACTTGATCAAGATAAGAAGCTTTTGCACAGCAAAGGATACAGTCCACAAAACTAAAAGACAACCTACAGAATGGGAGAAGATATTTGCAAATGACGTATCAGT